AAAATTATAATTGAACCAATGGAAAAAGATAAAAATTCTCACATGTTGTTTCTTAATTTCGATTATCGCCACCACTACAATAATGTACAAAATGCAACTAGGAAATTCTTTTGTATTTTGTGTATCAGAGAAACGGAATTCACTCACACTACTTAGAATATCCAGAACTAGTTTAGAACTGTTCATTCCCAACTGTAATCCTACCGGGAATTGAATCCAGGACCTACTCATCGAGGGCACATACTGCAAACCAAGAGAATAAAATACCATAATAAAAAAATATATTTCGTTGTTGATTTGAGTACAATCAATAACATAAAAATGGCAACACCAGCGGCAGTGGTAGAAGGGCCATTCGAGCGTTAGAATAGAGGAGATAATCATAACTTTTTATAAAAACCGACTTAGAAAGTTTGCGGAATTGATGATTATTACTAATTCCAATAAAACTTGGCAAATAATGAATAATAATATAGAATAATGAATAACGCACACACTCAACATAGCCCCGCACTAGGGAAACCCTGTGTCGCGGGTGCCATGGACACACACATAGACAACCATAAATTACATCCAAACTCACGAGAGAAATAATTGTAGGCCATACAACCGGCCCGGGAATCGAACCTGGGACCTCTGCGTGGCAGTCCGGCATGGTAACCGTTAGGCCACGGAGGCAGTAAATGAAATATGTCAAGTTTTATTGGAATCAGTTAACGTAAAGTGGGTTCAATAAAGTGTATTGAACTCGTAAATTGCCACCCTTACGCTATGTGTCCGTCAGGATGGCTGTACCAAACGAGATATACACATTAAGCTGTGCTCATTATTTACTTTTTTCTTCTATTTAGTACCTTTATTTACATATTATTTACCTTTACGCTAACGGAAATATAAAAAAAATAAAGTGGCCAGCCATTCTGATGTCAGGTTGGCTGACCACTTTACGTTTTTCATGGTTCTAGCAGTGTATAATTTACTTTTTTTATATAACTATTTACTACCTAATTTCTAACCTAAACATACTTTTTTCTCTATTTTTGGAAGCTGCTATAAAATGTTATTTAAAAACAATAATAAACAACTAGTAATTAATATAATAATTGTTATAAAATATTGCTTGCAACGATAATCCAGAATCCATTGTTTCCAAATTCTAAGCACCTTCAAAAGTATTATTAACAATTACACGGAGAAGATAAACTGTCTTTTGAGAAGATAACTTTTATAAAACTTTATAAGAACGTTTAGGTAGTAAATAGTAATATAAAAAAAAAGTAAACTGTCTGCTAGAACCGTGAAAAGCGTAAAGAGGTCAGCCAACCTGAAGTCAGAATGGCTGGCCACTTTATTTGTTTAATATTTCCATTAGCGCTAAGGTAGCATATGTCAATAAAGGTACTAAATTGTAGAAAATAGATAGTAAATAATAAGCACAGTTTGCTTTGTACATCTCGTTTGATCCAGCCATCCTGACGGACACACCCTTAGAGGTACAATATTTTCTTCAAATTTGATTTGGGACCACCACTGAGGTACCGCCTTTCCAAGGAAAAAAGAAATAAACGAAGTCAGTTTATGAATAATCGCGTATTATACACAGAAAAAGAACACACACAGTCCAATTGAAAACCTCTTCCTTTTTTCAGTCAGTTAAAAATAATAAACCAAATTCACACATAGTATCAAATGATAGTGGAAGATAAGAAAAAAATATACATAATTTCATTAATAAAGAAGATATCCATAATATTAACCTTAGAACTAAGTCCAAACTCATGGTACCTCGATTTCGTTTAACTAACGTAAACGATTATTTTTTGAAGTACTTTGTACGTTTTTACAACAAGATTACGGGGCATATATTAAAATTATCATTTCTTAAGCTTAAGACTTACATTGAAACTACTTTAATTGAAAAGTCATATTACAAAATTGAAGACTACGTGTTCGATAAAGATGTATGGAAAGACGACATGGGTCTAGGTTCCACACAAATTCAATTGAAAGTGTATTCCATAGCATTTAAGTTTATTTGAAAAGAGCTATCCCCAGAGTTCTTTGCTTGTTCTTCTTCTCAGGGAAGTAAGCATAGTGAACGAGCAGTAGCTTATAATACGACGTTTTCGAGTGTAAATTTATTATACCTATAAATGATTCTTTGACTTTGAAGGTCTGTAGCTTAACAAAATATATTTCTCTCCCTTACAGCTGATGGCATTGCACTTGGTGCAGCAGCCACAACCTCTCACGCTGATGTGGAGTTGATAGTCTTCCTGGCCATCATGCTGCACAAGGCACCAGCGGCCTTTGGCCTCGTCACTTTTCTCATGCACGCAGGCCTCGACAGGTACGTATTATTTTGAAACAATCAAACCATCGAGTCTGTTCATTCGTGTGTTGGGTAATTTTCACATAGGCAGAGAAACCTGAAACATAATTAAATAACATTTCAGGTTTCTATACTCGAATATTGATATGATAATATTCTAGAATATTCAAATGTTAAAAATTGCCACCAAAATTAAAAAGCTACAGAAAAATTACCCTGTTCAGTGTTACAATTTGTAAAAAAAAATTATAAAAAACCGACTTCAATAGTTCTTGGAATTACACCTATTTGCCAAGTTTTATTGGTCAGTCGGTCAATCGGTTACAGCAAAGTGCGCCAAACCGTATTCATTCCCTGGTTTGCCATCGTTAGCAGGTGGAATATTTTCTTTAAATTTAAATGGGACCAAGAAAATCTGTTCCCAAAATTGCATAACATACACACAAAAAAAAATGCAGTCAACTGGTGATTATAACACATTTTCAAATACTTCCGGTTAGTTTGCAACAAGCGTTTTGGATGTCAATAACCATAGTCCGCAGGAGCGTGCCTCTTTGCTGTGGTACGCTTGATAATTATTATAATACAAGGTCGATGACCTCGGATAAATTTATAATCCCAGAAGTCACTAACTTCTATGGACACATAGTATAGGGAATTCTCCATATGAGAGCAGGTTATCAGTGTGCTTAAAAACGAGAAAAAACCAACGCATGCAACCTCAAATGGCTTTGGTTGATAATAACCATTGACTTACAATTATATGGACGTCGGGTCCACGCTAAAAAGTGTCCGAACTTATAGGGCGTTAAAATCGTATACAGAGCGTCATTCACGCTTTAGTCTTCGTTTGTTCGACTGACAGCGGAGCAAGCAAAATTAGACAGTACTGCGGTGACATTACAATTTAAATTCAACGTTTTAGCTTTTTCGTATTCCTTTACATGTCACTACGTTTAAATAGGTTGACTTGGGACATTTTTTTCGTGGTTTGTGTATTAGACCAGTCGTCCATTTATTTGTAAGTCGATGCGCGTAACAGAATATTTTTTTCAAGTTTAAATGGGACCATGAGGTAGCCTTTTTCGAAATTTGAAATTGGAAATCGGTTCACAAATTATCGAGTAACATACATACAAAAAAAACATAAATGCATTACATTAAAGTCGGTTAAAAATATATTGTAAAATTAAGGCACTGTTTTGTATACGGTGTGAAAATACAATTCCTAAAAATTTTCACGATAGAAAAATTACAAGAAAACCGATGTATTCAATAGGAACTTCACATATACCTATGATTTTTTTTTTATATCAACTGAACTAAATAGAACATGTTATACTATACGATATATGCACTATTGTTGGCTCGTGAGGTCAGTATTCCGTGCTCGTAAGCCGTGCTCGTAACCCCTCCCGCGCGCCTATCCTCTCTTCTTGCGTAGTACACGTGACACAAATCTCACAATCGGTTTCATTTTAAACTAAATAACGACCCCTCCTACGTAAAGTATCGTATGTCGAAATTGCCAAGTTTACAGGGAAGCGTTTTAAAGTTCTCAATTCACTGCAATGAGCATAACACGTGACTTTACCATTTCTCAGTTTTATTCGGCAAAGCTTGTTACTCGCATAGAGTATTGTTAAATCCTAGATATCGGTTAGATGATCTACTAGATGATCACTCTATGTCAGTAATGAGGTTTTGCCAAACAAAACGGAGAACTTTAAAACGCTCCCCTGTAAACTTGGCAATTTCGACATACGATACTTTACGTAGGAGGGGTCGATAAGTTCTATTTTGTTTGTTGTAAATGTTGGACACTACATTACATACACTTATCACTTTATATATGTATCAAAATCATTATTCAAGTATTCTATACATATAACTGAACACAACACACTACATTATAGAAATATTTATGTAATTTTTTTAAGTTTACTCCTATATTCGCGACACACACGTCCGGTATTCACTCGGTTTTAGGGCCCACTGAAAATCAGCGTCACAGCCTTTTCTGGGTGGTGACAATAGCTGAGTGGGATCCTGTTACATACGCCACAGCCACGCACATGACACTTAATCTAATTGTGTTAAATATTTCATGTTTGCTTTGTTGTTGTGTATGATTTTATTTTTATTCCTTTTTTTCCAGTTATTTTTATTGTAATTTTTTGTTTTAATGTAGCTTCATCTTTTTTTTTATCTTCATTTTATTACTGTGTATATTTTTGTTGTGGCGTAGTAATAAAAGATTTCTATTCTATTCTATTCTATATACATTTTTCAAATGGCTTGTTTGATTCAAGCAAAATGAACCCTATTAGTAAGGGAAAAAATTTAATTCGAGTGGAGGTAGGCATCTATTACATAGCATAGTGTAATTACTTTCGTTGTGAGAATGAACGTAGTTATATAAATATATCGTTATTGTAATGCCAATTGATTCTGGATCGTTTTAATTTTAATTTTCATTTTTAGGAACAGAATACGAAAGCATCTGTTGATCTTCTCGTGCGCAGCGCCGCTACTCGCTGTTTTGACCTACTTCGGGATCGGGAACGAGAGTAAACAGACTCTCAGTTATTTTAACGCTACAGGTACGTTAACATTAATATAGTTACGGAACGTGTCACTGGTCCTTAATATTTCTATATACAAAGATCAAACACTAAGGAGAAATTCTTTCGATCCGGCTGGATTCGAACGTACATCTTCCAGCTAATCGTACTATGCCAACTAAGCCACGCAACGAACCAATAGACCTTACGTATCAAAAAAAAAAATTTTAAAGTTTCTTTTAGTAATGGTTACTTTCATCGGAAGTCCGAAATGACATTTTCCAGAAATATCGTTTGCTCGAATATTCATAACCTCGAAAGTAATTTTGAGAGATGTTTTTCCTTTTAAAACTTTTTTTTTGACGGAGGGGAAATCTTTATAATTACCCTCGAGCCCAGGGAGACTCAGGGGTTATGTGGGAACTCTCCCTCCAGACTGGAGGGCCTACCCCACTAAAGGGTTTCCCTCTCGCCGGTTGAGTCGGCGCCGTGGGATCAATCAACATTCACCACGACATTCCTTTTAAAACGTAACCTAATCCTGTCTTTACGATAAACTTCCAACATATCCTGAAGAACGGTTTCGTTATAATTCAGTTTTCGGGACAATGAAAATTCAAACAAACGTTATTTCGGAAAAACTAAATTCGAGTTTGTTGTCATTTCACCAGCACAAAACCGGAAACTTCAAAAACCGGAATGTAACAATATAACAACGACAAATTACAAAATAAAAACGACAAATTATAGGTACATAAACATCTTTGTAAACACCTGTACTACAAATCACCAGAATAATGCTCATATACGAGGGGAGGTCCAAAAGTCCGCGGAATGGAGGGGTTGTAAATAATATAAAACAATAAGGCTATTTTTCCTTTTCAATATAATTACCTTTGAGCTCAATACATTTTTTAGATCTCGAAATTAGCTTTTCTATGCCATCGAAAAAATATTTTTTCTCTTTGCTCTCAAAATGAGCTAAAATTGCTGCCTTAACCTCTTCATCGTCGCGAAATTTTTTCCCACGTAATTCTTTTTTCAAATTTGGGAACAAATAATAATCGCTGGGGGCTAGGTCCGGGCTGTAAGGTGGGTGGGTCAGCGATTGAAAGCCACACTTGTGTAGAGCAGCCATCGCAACATTGCTCTTGTGAACCGGTGCGTTGTCTTGCAAAAGCAACACACCCTTTGTCCATTTTCCCCGCCTTTTTTCTTTGACAGCTTCCTTCAGTCTCTCTAATGTTCTTGCGTAATATTCTCCCGTTATATTGACCCCCTTTTCTTTGTAGTCAACCAATAAAATTCCTTCACAATCCCAACAAACCGTAGCCATGATTTTTCCAGCCGATTCCGACACCTTAAACTTCTTAGGGGGGGGTGGTGTACCCTTTTTATGCCATTGCATTGGTTTGAGGAGGTTTTCCTTGCTTGGTAAGGAATTTGATGACAGCACGAAACTCGATTTGCTCCATATTTGCAGTTTTCTTCCGGATTTACTTGTTTATAGGGCGATATCTCGTAAACTAATGAAGTTAAAAGGGTGAAGCTTGATATATATACCCCTAATGAGTATCTGATTAGTACCACATCAAGCAAGCGTAATTAGCGGGCTCCCGCCCCCTCCATTCCGCGGACTTTTGGACCTCCCCTCGTAACTGCTTGGAGGCAAAAATAGGCTTGGTGGCAGTACTTCCCTGGACGAACTTTGTCAGAAGGAGCTCTACTGCTACTTTTTTAATAAAATAATAATAATAATAATAATATCTTTATTAACACTTTTGCCTTATAATTAGTACAGAGCAGCAATTTTATTATTTATTTAACAAAATTTTATTGGTATAGATATAACGTAGCACAAAATATAAAATAAGGCGTACCAAATTTAGAGATCTCCTAAACTAGTCAAAGACTGTATCTTAGGAGGCAGTGTTCAGTTAGGGGTAACTTTTACATAAAATCAAAACTTCTATTGAATCCAATCATTATAAAGTATATAAATATATGTGAGTCTGTACGGTTATGGTTTACAACTACAGTGAAAGGCATGCGTGTAACAAAAAAAGAAAAAATAAGATTTTATAATTTCTAAAAGGGTAATTCTAATGAAGAAGTAAGAAAATAAAGTAAGAAATAAAATATACCTAGTCCTTTCTTGATGTCCATAATATTAACCTTTAAAGTTAACTTTTGAAAGAAGGATGACGAAATTTGGCCCAAAATCAACGAAGTGCAAGTTTTAAAGAAATTACAAAACAATGTATTTGAGAATTGATGCAAGAACACAATGCAATTGATTCAATTCCACCATAGATTAGGTAACGTTCAAATTATCAATCAAACAATAATGACATAAAGTTAAAAATAAAGCACAATGTGACAGAAATGTTTAGACAATATTTAAATGAGAGATATGAAAGTTAGCAAGGGCACGTTTTGACAAGAGGCCTCTTGCCAATGTCAATGTCACTTTGAATTGAGAACAGTGTGACCATTTCGACCCCTCCTACGTAAAGTATCGTATGTCGAAATTGCCAAGTTTACAGGGGAGCGTTTTAAACTTCTGAATTCACTGAAATAAGCATAATACGTGACTTTAGCATTTCTCAATTTTATTCGGCAAAGCTCGTTAATCACGTAGAATATTATAAAATTCTAGATATCGGTTAGATGATCTATGATGATCTATTAGATGATCACTCTATGTGAGTACCGAATGAATTCAGAACTTTAAAATACTCCCCTGTAAACTTGGCAATTTCGACATACGATCCTTTACGTAGGAGGGGTCGATTTGTGGCAGAAGCCATTTGGGCAAACTTAATTTTTATTAATTTTCATTGCAACATGTTAACGTTGTATTAAATCATTCATTATTATTATTTATTTATAGTTTTATTTTATGCATACATTTTACGATAGATTTTATATGTATTCGTATGTACACACGCCAGCATATCAAGCTACACATTGACGTATCTTGTTCCGTTGCACTGATGTGCCGTTGTCCGTACATTTGATATTATAAATTAAATTGTGTATTTTATTGAGTGTAGTAAGTAGCATTCAATTTCTTTATTTATTTATTTTTATTGCCAACCCAAAAACCAACTTTCAGTTTTTCAAAGGTTAGTTGGAAGAAATGCCTTTGGGATAAACTTGCTTTATTACTATAATATTTTAAATTGTTTCTTAAAATTTGTAATTTAAAATAAATAACCTTAGAACAAGTCCTAACTCATGGTACCACAATTTCGTTTTAAGGTAAACGATTCTTTTATGGGTAACTGTATACGTTTTTACAATAAGATTCCGGAATATATATTAAGATTATCATTTCTTAAGTTTAAAACTTACGTTAAAAGTATTTTTACAAAATTGAAGACTACGTATTAGATAAAGATGTATGGAAAGACGACATGGTCTAGATTCTACACAAATATGATTCAAAGTGTATTCAAGTTAATTTGAAAAGAGCAACCTCTAGAGTTTCATGCTCGTTCTTCTCAGGGAAATCAGCAGAGTGAACGAGCAGTAACTTAAAAAAATCACGTTTTCAAGTGTACGTCACGTTTTACCTATGGAATAAATGATTATTGACTTCATTGACTTACAAATAAATGGACGACGGGTCTAATACAAAAACCACGAAAAAAATGTCCCAAGTCAACCTATTTAAACGTAGTGACATGTAAAGGAATATGAAAAAGCTAAAACGTTGAATTTAAATTGTAATGTCATCGCAGTACTGTCTAATTTTGCTTGCTTCGCTGTCGGTCGAACAAACGAAGACTAGAGCGTGAATGACGCTCTGTATACGATTTTAACGCCCTATAAGTTCGGACACTTTTTAGCGCGGACCCGACGTCCATATAATTGTAAGTCAATGATTGACTTCGACTTTTTGTTCTCAGGTATAGCAATGCTGTTCTCAGCAGGTACGTTCTTGTACGTGGCCACAGTCCACGTACTCCCTGAGTTAACACACCCACACTCGCACACGCACGCGTTGTTACCTGCCGCAGATGGTGTTCCTCCCAAGAGGGCTCGCAGCGGCCTGCTGCCCTCTGAGGTCCTGGTCCTCACTGTCGGTGCTATGTTACCAGTTTTACTTACATTGTCGCATAAGCATTAAAAATGGAAGCGTTGATGTTTTAGATGGTGACATTCTTAGATTTTTCCATATGAAAAATGGACTTTTATTTATATTTTTGAGATATATTTAAGTCGGTCGTATTTATGAACACTCTTGTTCCGTTCTTTTTTTTGTTTAGAGGGGAAACAAATTTGGATTTTTTTCTCTGATGATTTGATATTCGCAATAGTACAACTAAACGTGTGTATTATATTTTTTAATGAATGTCCACAATGCTCTCCATAAATATGAAGCTTTTTTTATATAGATAAAAAATAATCCATTAATGTAGAAAAGAAATAAAAAATCAGAGCAACATTTATTTTTATAAAAAGTATGACAAATTTTTCATTGTATAATTTAGCATTTAATTTGTAAAAAAGAAATGGTAATTTTTTTTATAAATATATTTTTTTACGTTACTTTTCGCGGATTGTTGATACAAAAATAACTATTTGTAAATAATAACGAACGAATTAAATATCTTGAATAAAAAGTGGTGCATAATACCGCTGTGCTATAACTATAAAGTTGGTACAGATTGTTCATTTACTAGCAATATTATAACTGGTGATAGTGGTAGATAACTTAGATTCTAACTTACATTAGTGGTAAACCAGCAGGCCATCTGTTGTTCATTTCATCAGGTTATAGTTTTAGGTCTCGGTACTTCCAATGGACACTACGCCAAGTTAATTTTTGGACCTGTTCTGTTTTTATTTTGTTTTTGTTTCTCTTTTTCGCAAAATTCTTTTTTTTTTTGTTAATTATTTATTGTACAGGAAAACACAAATCACATTTCGACGCCTCCTACGTAAAGTATCGTATGTCGAAATTGCCAAGTTTACAAGGGAGTGTTTTAAAGTTCTCCGTTTCATTCGGCAAACCTTGTTACTCACATAGAGTGATCATCTAATAGATCATCTAACCGATATCTAGGATTTTATGATACTCTACGTGTGTAACGAGATTTGCCGAAAATCTAAAGTCACATGTTATGCTTATTTCAGTGAATTCAGAACTTTAAAAGACTCCCCTGTAAACTTGGCAATTTTGACATACGATACTTTACGTAGGAGGCGTCGATTAGTAAAACGGAAAACACAAACAAAACGTACGTACGTGCTTATTTCTAATTACAATAGCGAGTTTACGTGCACAATTAAACAAAATTGAAATTATCTAATAAAACAATAATAAAAGAAAACAGCAACAATGTTAAATTACTACAGACTATATGAGTACTTAGATAAATACATATTTCATATTATAATATCTATAAAACGCATGGAACAGAGGAGAAATAGTGCTCTTTGACTCTCATTTTAAAGATGGCTAAGGATTTACTATCATGAACAGTTACGGGAAGTGTGTTCCAAAGTCTGACCGCATGAACAGTAAAGCAGTGAGAATAAAAACCGGAATTAAATGATGGCAAGGATAACTGGGACCTAACGAGAGAGCGACAGGGCTTATCCTGGGACCTGAGAAAGCTGAAACGCTCTTTCAGATACCTGGGAGACAAAGGATTATGTAGAATGTTGTAAAGAATAGATATGCAAATTCCTGCGGAAACGAATGGGAAGCTAGTTGAGTTGATTGCGATAGTGTTAGATTCGATTATATTTACGAAGGCCAAAGTTTAACCTTATACATAGATTTTGCAACCGTTCAAGCTTATTTAGCAGTTCCTCAGTAGCATCTAAATATTGTGTTGGATTTTGTTTTTTGTTTCTTTTTTTTTTCACAAAATTCGGGTACCATAATATTATTAAATAAATATGGCTGTTTACAAAAATACCAGGAAATGACCCAAAAGTAAAATTAGTCTGAATTCGCAATCCGTTGCCTGAACCTTCCCTAAAACCTGTCGCGCTACCCCATACGCAGAACCAATGAGCAACGGTTTCTCGAGTGGAGACCGCGTCTCAGTAAACGTAACGTAGGAAGAAGGTCGCGGGTAGTGGTTGGAAGCGGAAAACGGGTGATCGGGCACTATGGCGTTCACTTGGGGAGGCTTACGTCCAGCAGTGGACTGCAATAGCCTGATTGATTGAATTCCATTAAGAGTCCATTGAAGTTACATTGCAGTTATGATTATATTTGCTAAAATCTAGTCGCAATGGCAGTTGAGTGTCAGTGAAATGGCAGTGATGGCATATAAAATAATAGTTTATTTGACAATAATACATGCACAACATAAAGAAAAGAATATCCAAAACACACGTCATATGGGTCTATGACTCAGTTACAGAGGATATAAATATTTATAATTAATCACCAGTGATCGGAATTGAGGGACTTAATTTACCTAAAGTATGAACGTTTTCCTAGTATGGACGTACCCATTTCCTCATCAATGCGTATATTATTTTTTTTACTATTTTCTAAACATATAGATTGTTTCTTGTCTATTTTTAAAATGGCTGAAAAATTTAAATATACTTAAGTGCCTATAGAAACACAACTATAATACTACATCAACTATAATATAATTTTTTGAGACAATAATTTTTAGCCATATTATAATTATTCGCCAATATGCTCAAATTTCAATAAATAATACTCGTATTGAAATATAAGGGAATGTCCATATTATTCTTTAGTTTAGCTAAATAACTCCCTCTATTCTGATCACTATTCATCATACACACACGTAGGCATAAGATTACATGGATTGTGTTCGAAGTACACAAAAGCTAGTATAGTTAAACTTTAGTATAAAGTTTCTCGTAAATGACAAATTTAATCGAATTGTATATCAACTGGAATTTTACTATACATAGAATAATTTGTGAAGACGACTGTCAAAAACAGCTAGTTTAATTTTATTCCTCGTATTAATGTTATATTTATCACAATTTTGCATATAAATATTGCTATTCTTCTTAACACGAAATACTGTGATGCCAGTGTAAGAATGTTATAATTTCTCTCAGAGACATTCCGTTAACCGTTGTGAATTGAGCTTTTGCGGGGCAATAAATATTATTTTAATAAACTAAGTAGCTGAAATACATGTTTTTAATTAAAAAATAATTGTAACCTTGTTTCTATGCAAGTGTTACTTGATTTGCGATATTAAACAAAATTAAATGTTTTTAGTATAATATTGCTAGTAAAATTATGGACGCCCTTAAAATTGTATCAGAAAGCAATATTCCTTTTTGTAATTAGAACAATACTTTTTATTATGTTTTGTATGTTTGTTCATAATTGCGGACAAAACTGTGGTGTGATTAGCGATAGTTTGATTACTTGTTAAATAATAAAGAAATATATAAATAAAATTTTAAAATATAACCTTATTCCTCTTAGACAGCAAATTTTGTTTACATTTTTAACAGAATTCGCTTAAAAATACGGCGGGTGCAATAAAATGGTGTCCCTGTATTTTTTATTTAAAATAAAAAAAAATATTTCCAATAAAAATATGTCGCACATGATATCAAATGCTGTCATAACTCAAAATTGTAGAATTAATAAAACATACTAAATGAAATGAAACCAATGTATTTCGAGGTTATTTTTAAAATCCTAACGACCTTGCAGGATCATATTACTAGCATCATAAATAATTACTTTTGTTTTTTATTTTCATACAAAAATATTTAAATCGATAGCTCTAAATAACGATAACTCTGCGTTAGCCATTGATCTTAGAAAAGGAAGCGATAGCGTAAGTAAATAACGGGGATGAGGGAAAGGTGGTTGACCTATTTATCTGTGCGAACAATCGATCCTGCGCAAGCTCACGACGCGTTTGTGTGTATCGGTACTCTGCCCTTATTGCCGTAACTAACACATTCGCATTTCGGAACTTTCGATAAATTGGCACCTAAGGCTTTGTCACCTAAAAAAAAGTCAATCACGCTAATTTCACTTAAGAATAAAACTGAAACTAGTTAAGATAATAAAAAACCGATTCAATAGGGTTGCAGATCTTGTTTCACTGATCCCAGACATGTTAATAACTCAATTTCGTTAAAAATGCGATTAAGTTACTTATGATAAGGATGGCAGTACTCTTATAGTGAGTACCTATACGGAAACGGTGCGAATACTTGCTAGGTGTGGTGATAATGTATCCGAAGATTGCCTTGAATATGTAAGGCGGTTCCCTAACGTTCCTACGGTAAACCGTGTAAAATAAAACCAATAGCGGCATTGACTTACAAATAAATGGACGACGGGTCTAATACAAAAACCA